AGAAGAGAACAGCAGACACTGGGGCTATTTGAGTGTGGAGGTTGGAAGGAGGATGAAGACAAAAAGGTACCTATTGGGTATTATACTTATTAACTAGCTAGTAATATAATCTGTACACCGAATCCCTGTAAAATGCAATTTACCACAAACCAGCATAGGTATTCCCTGAACCTAAAATAAAAGTTGGAAGGAAAAATCTTTTTTAAAAAAGAAAAATAATTTGAAGCCACAAATTCCAATGTAAAATGTCAGCTTGGTCTCTAAGCAATAAAATTTTGAATATTTCCTGCGGGAAAAAAAGTAAAATGAATATATATGGATATTAAATTACCACTAACTCTTTGCAGCTGATAAAACCAAAGTTTTCATTCAATGCCTTCTAAATGCAGGTACAGTGCTAAGTAATAGAGTCCCTGTATAGCACTGATGCTGTAATCCACCCTAGATTAAATAGTCTGACCTCCATATAACATGGGTTATACAAATAATCCCTGTCCAGTTCCTGATCAGCCAGGGTAATCACAATACTGACTGATTTTTTCTGTCTCAGTTCCCAACCTGGCACTTGTAATAGCATTCCTTTAACATGCAAATTTAGGTCTAACAATATTTTTCTTTTATTCTCAATGTATGACTTTTGCTACTGAATTTAAATGACATTTATTAAAGCATATTGGAGTAGATGTGTAATAGCACTATACTTGATAGACAGGTGCAAAGGTCACAGAATTTTGGGATATGTTGGCCAAAGAATGCAGATTTGCAGTTAGATGGAAGGAATGAATTTAAGAGATCTGTCGTACAGCATGATGTTGATAGTTAATGACAATAAAATGTCTTCCTGTAAAATCCCAAGTGTGGCTGTTAAATATTCTCACCACAAAAATGATAACTATGTGAGGTAATACATGTATTAATTAGCTAGATTTATCCATTCCACAATGTATATATACTTCAAAACGTTATGTCATACACTATAAATATATATAATTTTATGACAATTTAGAAATAAATGTGAAAAATAAATACAGTTTTTATTTTTATATATCTTATTCTCCCAAGAAGATATTGAAGGATATAGATCCTAGTCTACTTTTACTGCCTCTTCCATAGGAGTTAGCAGGGGTTATACATATCATAAAGACTCACTTCATGCCAAGTGATAGAACTCTTCTTAGAAAATTAAGTATAGGATCATGAGGAAGGAAATACTGATGAGTTACTGGACAAACATTCCTGAGAAGAATGGATAGGCAAAGATAATGAGCCCAGGGAATAATATTTTTATATATGAACTCTAACTATGATTAGTAAAGGAGTAGCCTAGCTCAGGAAAATACTTGCAAAATCATCTCGAAGGATAGTGAATCATTGTGGTTTTCTATCAGTCATAGAGTAAATCTGAACTCTTCTCTCTGATTTTACCTCCCACTCCTCGACTTTTGACTGGGTTCTCTCTAGGAAGCTGGCTAACTTGCAAGTTCTCAAAACCTCAAGAAGTTTCTCTCCCAGATCTCTTGTTGATCTGTCTGCCTGAAATATTCTTCTCCCAGATTAACTGCATGGATGACCCTTTGATTAGTCAGGACTTCTCAAACGTTACTCCCCATTCAAAATTGTCAACTCCAAGTATGACACATAAAATAGTAAATAAGATAATAAAATATTCTGACTAGACTATCTAAAATAGTCCGATTTATCTCTATTTCCTTACTTGGATTTACTTTGCATGTGATTTATGGCACCTGTAACTCGAAGCTTTGTCATAAAGAATAAATGAGTCAATACATGAAAAGTGCTTATAACAGCACTTGGCACCTGGTAATTTCTATAAAAGTGTCTGTTAAATAGTCAATCTTCTACACTTTCTGGGAGGAAATGGAGTCTCAGAAATGAAGTGCTCCATATCTAGCTGTATGGGATCTTGAGTTTTCTGTTACCCAAAGCTTACTGTGAATTATGGTAGTCTCCTGAGCTTCCTCCTGCCTAATGGCTACTCCTATTTTTAACTTTTTTTTTTTTTTTTTTTTTTTTTTTTTTTGAGACAGAGGCACCAGGCTGGAGTGCAGTGGCAGGATCTCGGCTCACTGCATCCTCCTCCTCCTGGGTTCAAGCGATTCTCCTGCCTCAGCCTCCCAAGTAGCTGGGACTACAGGCATGCACCACCATGCCCAGCTAATTTTTGTACTTTTGAGTAGAGATGGGGTTTCACCATGTTGGCCAGGATTACAGGATTACTTGATCTCTTGACCTCATGATCCACCCTCCTTGGCCTCCCAAAGTGCTGGGATTACAGGCATGAGCCACCGCACCTGGACAACATTTTTTTTTAACTGAGACAATGCATAGGAATCTATATGGAAAACCAAAGGGCCAAATTTAAGACAAAATATTAATTTATAACATGGAAAGAGAAACAGGTTGCTAAAATGTTTATGCCACTAATAACAAATCTTAGTAAGTACTGTTCTGAAAAAGTATCCATAATGACAGAGGACTGTGAATTTGCCCTGCAGAAGTCTGGGCAATGGCTAGAAAAGACCAACTGCAATTATAGAACTTATCAGAATGCTATGGCTTTATTTCCAGAAGTGATGGGAACATCGCCTTCAACTATACACTATATCTATGTGTGTTTAAATATATAAATGATATTTTTAATTATTTACTATCAAATAAAACTCACATTACAGGACTGGTGCAGTCTTTGTTGGTTAATGTGCCATGTGGATATACAGGCAGGAGACCAGGTTTTCCACTTCAAGCAGCAAGGACTGCTATTTTAGGATTTACTGTTATATATTTGCTTCAATATCATAGTTTTGAAAGATACTTTATGCAACAATACCTATCTTCTTGGCAATGAAGATATACTCTTCTAAACTTCTAATATGTGGGCACTGAAAAACAGAGAGAATGCCACTGTTTGGGTAATATCACAATAAAGTGACAGTTTTCAACACATCTTGCATTCAATTTAATTAATGAAGGTTTTCACTAATACATAATCATATTTTGACTTGAGCTATCTCCTTCGTTTCTTATAACTTCATAGTTTACCTATTTTTTTTTTAATGATCATAGAGCTTACTTCAAGGACTAGAATGAAAGGACTTTCTTTTGTTTATTTCAAATGAGGACAGTTATAAGTTTTGAGGGTCGGCTGAGACCCTTATCAAGTACATGTTAATTTTGTTTCCTATGCCAATGATTCTGTGTTTTAATAAAACAAGAATGTCTAAGTTTTGTTCTCAAGTGCCAAGATAGGTGATTGTTTGAACTCTGATAATCTAATGAATGAGAGAGCAATGGCCTCATGCCAAGTGAGAGTTAAAAACAAAAAGATGGAGCACGTTTAGCTTTTCTACCTTGTAATGAAATTAATACGCTCTCCATATGTGTTCATTTTACTAACGAAGAAAATGACAATAGTTTGGGGCTGAGAATCCTATTGCTAATTCTGTTCTGTTTGCTACACTGTGCTCAATTGGAAAATGAAATAGAATATTTCCTTTACAGAGAATTTTCTTTCTTAATAAGAACTATTCGTATAGTACTGGGTAATAATAAATAGTTCTAAGTACAGCTAGCTCAGTACTAATAATTTATTTCTTACCTGTTACCTCTACCTTCCTACCCCCATAAATCTTCTAATGGATTTAGAAAACAAAAGACATCAAGGGAGGAAAGGTTAATCACCTATATTGTATCTGCCTACCTTTTTAACTAAAGAAACATCTTCTTTCAAAAGGCTATAATTTAGATAAGATTATCTTTGCTGAAGGAAGAAAGGAAGGGAGCGAGAAAATGAGGGAGGCAGGAGAAAAAAGAGGGAGGCTAAAAGGGAGAGAGAGAACATTGGTAGTGAGGGCAGTGTAGAAAAAAAAGAGGCAAAGTCTTCTCTCACTGTCATCTGATTCTGTTTGGATGATGGAAGAAACAATCACCATTTGATTTCTAAGCAGTGACTATGTTCCATATCTCTTGCATTCAGAACAGTGAAGTCCTCCATCAGAAAAAGCCCCAGCAAACTGTGACTCATAGCCATTACGTAAAGTGAAACATTACATTGGAAAGAGATCTTCTGATATACCAGATACGGCTTTGATATGGACCCATTAATTCTATGAGCACTGACTGGTTACCCTTACCTGAGCACATCAATTGGTATCTTAGTTTTGGTTCTGTCAGACAGTGACTCTCGTGCAAAGATTATATTGTAGGGAATTTATTTAAGAGTTAATCCCAAGAAACACTGATAGGGGAATGAGACAAGAGAAAAAAGAGGTCAGTAAAAGTTATCAACCAATTTGCCACTCAGTAACTGGGATGAATCCTGTTGGGGAACACCAGCAGCTACTATGAAAACTTTTTCTTCAGTTATCCCCGCTGAGGAGCAAAGGGTATTTGTCTACTAACTTCCATTAGTCATTAGTGGAAGGTTGCTTGGGAGAGGGGAATGGGTGTTAATCTCCTGTCACCTTTGACCTGCCCTGCTATACTCGGGCCAACCAAACTTTGAAGAAAGACATTGTGCAGAAAGATGGAGTTGCTGGAAGTTGGAAGTTGGGCTGATGTTTTCCACATGGTAAGGTCTGATGTTCACCTCTGACAGTTGATTTTGCCTTGCATTTCACTCCATCACTATTTATCTATCTCTCATTACCAACCCCATCCCCCTTTTCCATCTTAAGCATAAATGTTTGGTTTTGCCTTATAGTTCAGTATATTGCTGTTAATATGACTACCACGTCTCCTACCTGAGGATAAAATTTGAAGTTTTCATTGATTTGGCAACAGCAAAACACCAGATCTTGAATTAGAAAATGCAGGCTTAAGTCTTGCCTGTTCAGTCTAGTTCACCTGCTTAATAACTCTCTTTCAGCCTGTTTCCTTGTATATGAAATGGGAATAATGTAATTTTCTCTGCTGAACTGTAAGGACTTAAGATAATGCAAAGTGTGCTTACCAACTATATGTCCTTTTATCCTATATTCTAGAACTCGATATCCATGAGGACAGTGTTTGTTTTATGTTCACTGCTGTTCCTGCCCCCAGGACATAGAATGCATCCCACATAGTAAGTACAGGACAGATATAAGAATTACCCATTAAAAGAAAGTAAACATTGAAGTGGATTCCTTGAGTTCAAATATTAGCTCAGCTATTTGCTGGCTGTGTGATTTCAGATAAGGATTTCATCACTCTAAGAGACTTTTTCTGAGGGATGCATTAGTCAAATGTTTTTCCGACAAGGTTGTTCTAAGTATTAGGATGTTCCTAAGGACATCCTCTCCCTCGGCACCATTCATAGCCTTACCCTTGGGGATAGTGTTGCATTTCCTACATCTAGATTTGAAAAAATAATCTATTAAACTACTGCTGTGTAAGAAATATTTTTGATCTTTGTCTGCAGCTCCTGGCCTAGAGCTGCTAAAATGCTTGGAGTTTCCAGAGTGATCAGGTGACTTTTGCTATTCATAACAACTCCTTTAAGAGTACACCTGCGTTTATAGTAATAAGGTGATTTATAGCTGGGCCCTTAGATAATCTCAGGATGGGACCTATATCTTGATCAGTGTGGTGCTGATTATTTGGATTTATAAATTTGTCTCATTTCATTGAATTTTACAAATAAATTTTATAAATTATAATACCTTATTGATACAAAAATAAAGTTAATTTAAAAAAAACTAGATTTAAGTTAATAGGTAAATAAGCAAACAAATGAAAAAGGAATTCAAAATTATCCACATCTAGGTTTTAATGGTTTTATGTGTCTGAGAATCATGTATTATTGGATCGGTACATGCAAACAGAATACTTTTACATCTGTAACAGTAGTTCTCTCTGACCTGTCCAGTATATCAGACTTTTTTTTAAAAAAAAACAGATGCTGCTAAGGTAGAAGAGTAAAAGAGATAGAAGCTTTTTCAATGATGTGAAATGTTGGATTTCTCCCCCATTCCTGAAACAAGAGGATTACGATAATGTCTTTTGTTTATAAATTTTTTAGCTCTGAAGAAACCAGATTGCTTTGCATTTATGTATACATTAAATAGCTTTTACCTAGGAAAAGTCAGATGTGTATTATCCCCATTTTGCAGGGAGGAAGCAGGAACACAGGAGAGTTTAGGAGACGGCAGACTTAGGTATCTGTCAAGGGCTACCAGGGCTGTGATCATAAACTCCATTCTGAAGGTTTTTGTTTTTATTTTTCTTTTTAATTATATGTCATTCAAAGGAAGCCTATTTCTGCTCTATGTGTATATGTCAGCATTTTGATAGGAGAACAATGAAAGATGTTCATAAACATGAAAGCTGAAAATATTTGTTATGCCATTTCTTTAATCCAGACTTGGTAAATAGATACATAAAGTGATATAACTAGATAATTATTAAATAATACAAGGCTTTGGGGTAAATATCCATTATGCATAGATGTGAATTAAGATTTCACAGTAAAAGGTTCTTCCTTTACTATTTGCCAAACAACTCTAAACCTGTCTTCACTGAAAGAAATAATTTAATTTTGTAGTCATCTGCTGAATGCAAGCAATGGGAAGACTGCTCACAATGTGTGGCAGGATCAAACAGCAGAAGGCAGAAACCATGGAAGCAATGACCTGAGATAGGATATGGCTCAGGCATTTAGTAGTTGGACAATATTGAGCCATCATGAAGCATTGTAAGGATTAGAGAAAATGTACGGAAAACACATACATATTGTCCGGCAGATAGCAGACACTAAAGAAAGAAAGGTACCTATTATTGGTATAATGGCTTTTTAAGCTATGAACACTGAATTTGGTACTATTAAAGTAGAAAAAAAGGTGGCTTAGTTATAAGGGACATACATTTTTCCAGACCATAAAAAATATTTTCATTGTGATTTATCAGATTAATTCAGGGAAATATAATAATAGTCCAAATCCAGACATCAGAAAAAGGAAGCATGGAATGTTGGAACATGAAATCAGGGCCAGATTAAGACTTTATTTCCCCTCATATCAGAAATATATCAGACTGGATTAAAACTTTATATCCCCTCAAATCAGAAATGTATGGTGTCCTCCGTAGGTAATTCAAAATAAAAATATTATTCAACTCCATAATACAATTCTAGATGTCTGTTGAATTTAAAATAGTTTCTAGATTTTATGATTTCATTTCAAGATCTGGATACATTTATGAAAGGTGAGGTTTTGTCTGTTTGTTTCCTGTGGGAAGCTGAGATGCTAGGTTTGCTGGTTTTCTAGGAAGATGGTGAGGCTCCCTGGAGGGTGATGCAGCACTAAGTGGGGCTGACTGTGAATCCTTTAAGAGATGAGGCAGGAATTTAGGGATGCTGATGCCTAGAGATCTTGGGTAGGTGGGAATGATGCCTCTATGCATGGTTGTCAACATTTATGGAAGGCATAATCCTTAAACTTTTGTGGAAGGTGGGAATCTAACCCAGCCAGGTCAGAAGAGTTGAAGAATGTTTATGATGTAAAACTTTAAAACTCTGATATCTAGCTTCCAATTGTGGTTGGAAATCTTTAAAACTGTAAAGTAATATTTGGAGATAAAAACATAAAGATTATCTTGTCTTTACATTATAGTTCTTCCTGGATATATTGATAAATGGCATATAAAATGTATAAATTTATAAATATAAGCTAAAAGAATAGTTCATATGTTTTGCAGTTCAATATTTTTATTAGAGTGACATAATTACTTTAGATAACAATCACCTAAAGCTAGTCTGAGGTAAGAGTCTAAGGAGATGTGCTCAAGATTCTGAGAACATAAAGTGCAGTAGCTACATTTTAGGTAAATTACAAATAAAATGTCTATACCAGGTTATAGCAAAAATAATTGCCTTCCTTGAGCCTTGACTTTGAGTGAAGAAAAACAAAAACCAAGAATTTTAGTAACCACAGGTAGGCTCTGATGTATGGTTTGCAGCCTGAATTCATTCTACTTCAGGGATCCAAAAAAAAAAAACCAAAACAAAACAAAACAACCCTCAAGTCAAATATTTAAAGTTGCTGAAGGTTGGTAAAGCTTCTAACTCCATGGCAGGGGGAAATGTTAATTACCTCTGATTTAGTTCACATTTAGCTCAGGCATCAAGGAATTCCTTCAGATAAAGCTTCAAGGAATATCACCTCAGAGTTAAAAACCACAAAATACACAAGGAAGTACCATAAATAGGCATGCAACAGATAAGAAATCATATCTTGTGGACCTCATTAATGACCAGAGACATACATATTAAAATCAAGGGTGAGATAACAGGATTGGCAAAAATGAAAAGGCTTGTAATATCAAGTTTTAGCAAAGATGTGGAACAAATAAAATTGAAAAAGTTCATGGTTCAAATAAATGTATTTGGGAAACAAATTCACATATTACAGTGAAGTTGAACATATGCATGCCCTATGACTCAGCAATTCTACTCTTAGCAATAAACCTAAGTGAAACTCTTATTTATCAGAAACCCAGGATATCTGAATCAGGAGACACATGGGTGAATGTTAACAGCAGCATTGTTTATAATAGCAAAATAGTGGAAAAAGCCCAAATGCCCATGAACAGTTGAATAGAGGGGGGAAATGGGGTGTTCTCTCATAATGAGATACTCTACACATTAATGTGAATTAATAAACTACAGGTGCATAAAACAGCAATTCTATCATAGAGACATGACACAGAGAAAAAAGCAAGTCTAGTTACACAAACTTTAAAAACATGCAAAATAGGATGTTAGAGGTTATTATTCGATGTAGTAAAACCATGAAGAACAGTGAGGGAATGATAAAACACTATATTTAGTTAACACCTTTGGTGGGTTGGAGTAATGGCTGATCTCAGTAATGGATCCGTGAGGGCCTTAAAGGTGACTGACATGCTCTATTACTTAAATTGGGTACCTATATTAGGTACACAGTGTTCAGTGCATTGTAATTATTTATTGCTAACACAATGTTTACAAACATTCTTACTATTTTCCATACTTAATTTTTAAAAATTAGAAATACTGTAGACATGACACTGCTTGATATTCTTCTTATTCCCGTATAAAATATGAATGCTTCATGTTTCCCTTTATTTTTGTTAATTATTTTGTTAAATATTTTAACATATTCATCTTCATAACTTATTCTAAGAAATCTCTACCTACCTGCTAAACATCCTTTCTACAATAGTTTATTTTTAATAATTAGAAGTGCCATATTGGAGAAGGTGTGACAGAAATTCTCATATACCACATGAAGTACTGCTCTGTTAATTGAGGTAACCAACTACGGTTGTTTCAAAAGACTATTAAAGTTTTTATTTGTTGAAGATATTGTGGTGTTTTATTAGAGTTATATGCTCTGTCATCTCTCATTGGCATGATAGAGAATAATAAACATTCCCTTCATCTTTAGAATTACTCATTGATATATTAGAGATACATATTCTCTAATCTTTATTCATTATTATTTAAAATATATTTTTATTACTATAAGTAGGAATAGAATATGTACAGTTTAGGGAAATATAAATCATAGGGGAATTGAGTAAACACCACCCCCAAACACAGTCTCTCCTTTAGTATTTAGTGCCTTAGTAGCAACTGAAAGACTAGAAAACTTGCCTCTCTCATTTGCACATCAGTGTCAAAGGACACAGCCAGATTCACAGGATAAAGGGGGAAGTTCTTGATCTCTGTAAGAACAGTACGTATCCTTTCCCTTTAAAACAGAGAAACACTTTTTCAAATCTTTGGAACAGGTGATCCTCAGGCAGGCAGAGGGATTTAAGTCATCAGTGATGTTGTTATATACAAGGCTTCCAATATTAAAGTCTAACTTAGTTGGAGAGAAGATTTCATGCTTGTTGATATTCCTCTCAAAGGCAATTATCTGCTGCTATCATGTCTGAGTTCCCAGAAGGCCCAGAACTGTAGTATTTTATTAATGATGTTCTGTAAGAAGATATATATTGAATTGTGTTATTTCATTAAAAATAAAGTCCACACAGTTTCCAAGGATATATAGGCTTCCCTAATAAATCCAAATTGCCTCCCTCTTTTCTGTGTCCATTTTC